ACTTTTGCCTAAGGAAACACAAGCTGTGATACGCTCTGAAGTTCTCTTCCCCTCTTCCTCTCCAGTCTTACTGCTACAGATATCGCTGTGCAGCCCGTAGTCAAAACACTCCTGACAGCTCTGCTTCAAATCTGGGATTCCGCTGCGCAGCAGACACCTTGCCAGAGCTACGGTGACCAGTGGGCTGTCGCACCGAGACAAGAAAGGCTGAATTTCACCCAAGACTGAAGACACATGTGGAGTGTCACTTCTGATGACACACGATGGAAAAATTGAATGCTTGCACTTCCTGCCAGGGGTAAAAAAAAAAAAAAATAATCCAATACTACTCAACATTGCTTGAAGAACTTTGATATATTTATCTCTGGTGAAGTTGGCCTGGACTTTTATCCTGACTAAGCTTTTTATCAGTTAATTCTGTTGGGTTTAGCAAGACTATTCTGGAGTTAATAGGACAAAACTGAACAGAAACATGCCGATGGGGTTTTAAAAGCTTAATTCTCTTTAATAGCTCCTCTAGAAAAGATCTTTATTAAATTTCTGTATAGTTTGAATTTCTACACTCAAATCCCATAAACAAGGACTTTTATAAACTTCTAGACAGCTTTAAAAGAAAATTGAAGGAGCTAAGAAGACGTGAGGACCGGCAGACAGACAGCTAGCCCTACAGGTGGTTAATGCAGCCCTTGTATCACGTTCCTGTTGTAGTGAAAATTTGGTCCAGAAGTGTGCTTTTTATGGTGAGGTACCTGCTCCTCTTTCTAAAGTGCCTTCTGCAACTGAGGGATGATAATCATCAGGGTGATGATTATCAGAAGTGTTGTACACATTTGAATAAAATTTCAACCATTTCTTTATGCTGAAGACTTTTATTGATGGAAAAACACTGGCAATTTCCTTTGAATTTCTCTTGGATGTGGTGTAGGCTTATTTTGGGGACTTGCAAATTGCAAAAATGGCATCATTAGAAACTGAATCTAGCAAATGGTTCTGCTTGAATAAAAGACCATAAAAGTGAAAATATGGCAGATGTACCCATGAGCCCCAAGGCCTAATAAGGTAAATTTTCAAACTGATTTTAAAAAAAAATAAAAAAAAATCAATCCCCCTTCAGAGGAGAAGAATTTTAGCAAGGAGGAAGGGGAATGGGAATGACAGCTACCTCATTTTGGGATTGGAATGTATTTCAGGCCTTTCACAAAGTGTTTTGCACTGTCCCTCACTCTAGGACATGGTATCCATTAATATTTCTGGGCCAGGCCATTGCTTCCTCTCAGTGGAGACTGACCCAGGCCTCTCCCACGCAGTAAGCTCCACACCAGAATGGCTGTCCTCACAAATGTGTCACCTGTGTGTGTAAAACAGGGATTGAACTTGGTCATCTTGTCAGCTGCTTTCAGACCCGACAGTGAAAAATGGGGTGGATTAACAGTTTTGCATCAATGCCGGTCTTTCCCAGCGCTGTCTGTTCTGTAGTAAGTTGGGTTTGGGTTTAATACAATTGGGGTTAATATAAATCCATCGCTGCCAGCTCCATCTCTGCTCAGCATCTCATGTTGAAAGGAAGATGCTGCGGAATGTCTGAGGAGCCCTTCAACAAAACCCAGCCTCCAGCAGGGGGTAAAGGTAATTCTAGCACGCAGAAAAAAAATTTCCAGAATCCTCCTCTATGACTTGGCACTCACATAAGCGTAGTAAAAGCTGTGGTAAATATTTAGTGTAGTAAAAACTGCATTAGCAGCATTAAATGTTTAATTAAAATCTATGCATTAAACCCATCTATTTTACTGAGAGTAGTAAGAAAAGGTTCTCTCTTTATTTCTATCCTAAAAAGCATGTGTCTGCCACCAGAAGGAATATACCTTATAAGGTTTTGCCTAGAGTCAGTTTTGGGGTTTATTCTGGAAAAAAAAACCTTGAAAAAATTACACACAATTCCATATATTGGAAAATTCTTATGGCTTTATTGAAATAAATGGCTTCATGATGCCACGCCATCAGGTATATGTCAGTCAGTACTCCTTGTGCTGTGAGTGGCACATAGAGGAAACCGTTCCCGTCCTTCTGTGGAGATGGTGGGATGTGTCCCATTCGTGCTGGTTTTGTTTGCATAATGGTTACTGTATTTTATTACAAGATCTTTCATTAAACATCCTTGAATTAATCTGATCAGATTTCAAGGGGAAAGTAAATCTCCAAACTTTTGAGTGTTGACTGTTGAAATATTGATACTCGTTCCTGCACTTTGAGAGCAGAAAGGAGGAGGGAGGATTACACAGAGCTCACAGATTTGCTGTGCAAGAGCCCCCTGAACTGTGAAGTGGTGGAGTAGGACTCTATGAAGCTGAAAGGCACCCAAAGGAAAAAGCAAACAGAAATGCAGCAGGTAGAAACAAAGGTCTGTTGTCTTTTTTTAGTTGCTTGTAAGATTTTTTTTTTTTCTTTTTAGTAGGATTTTGCTCCGCACCCACAGATAGCTGTAGTGCTAAGGCACAGTGAAGTATAAAGTGCACGCTATATGGTAAAAGGCCATTAACATCTGCCACAATGGCTTAGAACTCCGTGACAACGTGTTATTTCACGTTCTTGCAAGGCCTTTATAATGTGGCTGGCTGTTTTCAGCAGTACAACGCTCACTGTTCTGTGCTGTGGAAGTTTGTTCTAACCAGGTAACTGATACTCAGGTCACTTGCTAGAAACGGCCTCAGCTGGCTGGGACTGAGAGGGTAGCGTTGCACAGAGACAGAAGGCTCGGCTGTGTTCTCTGGTTTAAGGCTGGTGATGCGAGGACTAGATATTGCTAATGGTGCTTGGGGGTTTGTGTTTTGGGGTTGTTTTTTTTTTTTAATCTGCACTTCCTTAACTACTCAAAATCATGCCAAGTACGTATTCATAACAGGAAGCTAACAAACAGTGCTGTCGTCTTGAAAACCCATCTAATCTTGAGGAAGAGGAATACAGATGGTATGAAACTAGTCCTGAAACTTTTTCCAGGAGGGAAAGGAAGTAGATTGGATCATCCACTCCCAGTCCTGCAGGCTCAAAGTGGCTGGCACAGTGCCCTTTGGGGGAAGACAACCAGATAAGCCTCTTAATAGGACAAGAGAGCTTGCAACCCAAGCTCCACTCTGGGATCTAGTGCAGCATGTGTTCAGAATTATGGGACCTGGAGAACTTTTCTGTAGAAGCAGGCAGCCTTAACCGAATGAGGAATAAAGTTAATGGCCACTCAGCTTGTAAATTACTTTTCACAAGCAGCTGAAATCCTTTGGAAGCTTTCTGTGCTCACAGAAGTGACACTTATTCATCAACCTGAAGAAAAAATCACGTGGTAATGTTTATCTTAAACTAAACCCACAGCCATAAGTAAATCTCAACACCAGTTCAAAACAGAAGCACAAAGATATATACTAAATGAGGAAAAGCTAAACCGAGGTTTATCTAGGAACTACACATAACCCCAAAGATGTTTGTTTAGCAAATAGTAAAATAATAGCAGCAAAATATCCTTTGTCCCTCGTCAGTATCAGGTTCATCTTTCAGGTCCAAATCAAAGTTGTCTCTTATTTAGAAAAAAAGTTGTCAAAGTGCCCCAGAAGAGCTGATCCCCCCCCAAGATGCACTACCTTGTGTGTGTACGTTTTGTCAAAGGTTATGAACAAAGATCAAACTGTACAGAGCAAACAGCCCAGGGGCTTGTGCCACTGATGCAGCACTGTGGCACAACTGTAACAGTAGCACTGCAGTTTATCTGTCTTGTGTATCAAAGCTGGGGGAAATGCAAAACAAGCCTGTTGTTTGAAACTTCCTTAATTTGATTGTTCTAGAAAGCAAGTGAAGTAACGTGCAGTTGCAGAACATACCCCATCCAGGAAGCTCTCTCGTGGATCCCTGGTGCAAGGAGACACTCAATAAGCGGTGTGCCCACATTAGATCTGTACAAGCACGATGAAAAGAGGCAATGACCTTCTCCCTCTGCTGGGAAAGGACAGGCCTTGCTCAATACTGTCTGGCTCTGCAGGAGACAAATCAGTTAGTAGCTGAAAGGAACAGAATACTCACACATCTGCCGGCCGTTCAACAATGTAAAATGAGAAATTATTGTTGTTCAGATGTACTTTTCTATTTCCTACTTTAATCTATTTCAGAAGTCAGAATAGCAGCATCGTACTGCTTTAGACTGCAGAGTCTGAATTTGCTTCCTGAGTGTGTAATAATAGTGCTGGCAAGTAACGTGGAAGTGCTGCTTGCTATTACTGCAGAAATCTTGTTAGATGAGCCATGAGGTAGCGATGGTTTAAAAAAGATGGGATGATTGTGCCTCTCAGAGCCTGCAGCACTGTGCTGTTCACACAAAAGCTAAATGGCAATGAAATTGAACTAGTCACTTAATGCCAGATTTTGGCAAGCAGTTAGACATGACAAGATGGAAAAAGGGGGGGCCAAGCATTTCATCTAATCTTTCTGGGCAAGATTTTTACATCAATAACAGTTATTTGTGTTTTGTGGAACAAAAAAAATTATAGCAAGCAATTAAAAAAATAATAATTTATTTTAATGGTATTTAAGAAACCTAATGCCCTTCTTGCAAATGTCAAAATTCCTTGGTCTCATTCTGCTGTGCAATTTTCAGTGGCATTTCTCATTGTTATCACATGTCTTTTCTGTGTACCAGTATTCAAGTTCACTCCTTCTGAGAGGTACAGATTGAGAGCTGCTTTATCATACAGGAAGCTGTCAGAAGAAAACAAGAAAAAAGCACCAGCCCTGGCTTAGCAACTGATCTTTGGAACATGTTGAAGCTCCAGTGTTCCCTCCCATCCACCTTGAAAACAGTCTCTAGGATGTTGCATGAAGTTATTCCCAAAATCTTGTCTTTTAGCTGTTACTAAAACCACACATGCTTCCTTGGTGGAATAGACAATCAGAGTGTTATTTAACTGCAATTTAACTACTCGAGAAAATTGTATTCGTTAGGTATGTGCTTAAGGTCTGAAAAGCTATGGAGAGCTCCCTGAACAAGTGTCTGGTGTGGAAAAGAGGGAGCTGTCCCAAGGTAAGAAGGAAGCACATGTGCGGGAACCACAGTAGCAAGGTTTCCTCAATCTGTTACCTTCCTCTAAGGGATTTTGTTCTCTGTTAGTTATTGGTGAATTATGGAATCTTCCAGAATAATCGTACGAAAGTTCCTCTCCAGCAGAAATATCAGTAGCTGCAAAAAGTGCCAGTTTAGGCACCATTGAGTCAACCCGAACTGGCACCATAAATAAATTTGGTTCACAAGAATGATTCAGGAATCTGCCTACGTTACCAATGTACGTAGGGTCAACAAACGTCTCCATTATCTGGCCGTTATGGAGGTGCTCCCTCACAGCTATAATATAGTTCGAATCCTTTGACGTCTGGGCCTGAATTCTTCTACGTGCCTCATTAAAGCCTAAAACTTCACCAGCATATTCACAAACAAATCTTCCTTTAGCTATGAATTCCAGAGTGCGAAGACCCCACCCTTTCTTCTCAGTCTTGAATACTTCAAGTCTGAACTGCAAACCCCTCTGAACAACCCTGTTTTGACAGGATTCACCGCACTGGCACATGGCGTTGCATTCAAAAACAGGCCTGGCATACTCCTCCTCTTTGTCGGTAGGCTTGAGACACAAGCTGTTGTAATTTTCACCATGGCAAAGACACGAGCACACGTGAACCACGCAGGAGCTGGTGAGACAAGAACATCCAGGAAAGGTGATTTCAGTGGGGTCAATGTCTCCGTCTGCTCCAGCCACGTTGTCTGGGCTATACTGTGGAGAGAACAACAGTCAAATCCTTGTCACGTTCAACGCTTCTTTCCACAGAGACTATTGGACTTTCAAGAAGTCTGCGTTTGCCAACAACTGATCTCTGAACATGGGGATCTGAAATCACAAACAATTCCTTTTCCTGTAAACGTCTAACTACAATTCTAACTTTTCTAAAACGTTTTAAGGAATGCAAACCAGATATTGCATATAGACTGAAAAAGAATCAATAGTCTGCTAGTGACTGGATTTCTCAAAACAGTCTACTAGACAGAAAAAAATTTCTTAGCAGGAAAAACATGGCAGCTAATTGGATCTGGTTTACTAGGTAAGATTTCATTTAAAGACTTACAGTCATTTCCCTCCCTGCAAAATGCTGACTAAGCTACTTACAAAGGTAGTCTATAGCTATTTTAATTCACAGAACTTCAAATGCCCATTTTTATTAAACACGAAGACCCTCTCAATTTATCTCTTCACTATGTTACATTCAAACTTGCTCCTGCTAATTCTGTTGCAAAGTGTTGCACTAGCATACCTCTACAGATGTAGAAAAAAGCTGAGCTAACTACTCTATTGTGAAGAAATGGTATTTGCTTCACCCTGAATTCTGTCTTCAGGAACAGATGTGGTTCAGTTCAAGCAACCCAAGTTGAAAATCAGGTTCTCAAAACTACACTAATGCCCCCAGCAGGTGAATGATTATAGAAGCATGAAGTGTTACAAAATAAAAGCTGATAGAAATCTTGCTGAATTTGAAAAATCAAAATATAAAACCAACATGTGTATTTTTACTTTCTTCTCAGCATTCAGCCTGCAAAGCTTTATTTAGAAACCTGGAGTATGTGCTATTCCTAAATATTACATTTTGTAGTAGCTTATGTCTGATAGCTTCTGGGTGTTGGGAAACATGCCAGTTTGTTCAGAAGTTTCTTTTTTCATAAACATCAGCTTTCTCAGTCATTTGGCTTTACTCAAACCCAAGTTTAACAGCCTCTTATCCGTTCCCACCTACTCCCATTCATTGACTACAGGCTTTCCTATTTCTGTTAAATATCAGCACACCCTGCAATTTAACAAGATCAGGGTCTGTTTGGATTCGATCTTTCTTTTTGTACCCCCAGACTTAATAGAAGCTACTTCATAAAGTCCCTCTAACGCCACTGAGGCAGGCAGTGAGGCGTACTTCCAGGAACCGCGTTAGGAACTTGCTGCAAGTAACAGACAGCAGAAACTGGGCTATACCTGGGAAAGTATGAAAAAAAGCTTAAAGTATTGTTCTATATTACTTAATTATACCTTTCCTTGTAAACTGCTTCGGACAGTTGTGCGGCAGAGGCACAAAGCCTGTCAGGTTTTTATCCCACTCTAGTTCCAGCCTAGGGCCCACGTTAACGCCCTGCAGCGCAACAGCCTCATTCCTCCTAAAAGGTGACGTCTTAACCGCGCGATTACAATCTACAAAATGCCACACAGCGGGAGAAAACCCGTATATATAGGGAACTGAAGCGCACGGCGAAGGAAGAACACCTAAGGAGAGCAGTACCGAGGGCAGGGGCCGCCTGAGGGGACGGCGCCAGAACACCGGGTCCCTGAGGCGCG